CAGAGTCAGCCACAGTTTGTTATGATCCATGCAGTCAAATGCCTTTGAAAGGCCTCAAACCTGTTCCTGAGATGATTCTGAAATTCAGGTGGTATGAAATTAAAGTCATATTTTGGCTCCTGTGGATTCGGTTTAATTTTCCTCAGCTTCAGCTTGAATTTGCAAATATATCTTTAGGTAGGAGTTATTTAAAAAATTAAATTTACACAAGGGTTTCTTGTATCTATAATTTTTATGACATGCCACTTTCTACCTCACAAAGAAGTTTAAAATCTTTCTTAAGGTTCTAACTAGATTAGTAATTTCATCAACAGAGGGATCATGTCTTTTTTCATCTTTGTAGATGCAGGCCAGTTTTGGACCAATCTCTGCAGCTAAAGACTTAAGCTCTCCCAGGGCTCCAGGTTATCTCCAGGGAAAGCTGGAACATTCATGCTAGATTTGGGCCAGGGCAGGAAATAGGAGATGGGAAGTGGCTACCATGTGAGAGCTTGGAGCTGAAGTTACAACATTCTTGTCTCCCCTGAGCCTAGGGCCAGGTGCCAGTCATTTGTGTAGGGTGTTTGTCACTGTAAAGTCTCCTCATAGAGCAGTGACAGTCCTGTCCCTTCTTCACAGTTCCTGAGTGGTGCTGCAGCAACTGAGGGTAGGCTAGAGTCTGGGAACACCAAGGTGGCAGATAGGGGGCCCCTGGAAAAGGCATGGGAAGCTGGCATAGATCTCTACAATAAGGAAGCATGTTCTCAGGCCCCAAACCCAGAACTCTTCAGCTCTGCTGTGTTTGACCTGGGATTTCTCTGGAAATGAATTTTTCCTTGTTGCTGTCAAGCAAGGATTTTATGGAGTGTCACTATCAGATACTCTTCTTCATAGGGTCAACCTCCCGCTGCCCCCAACGTGTAGCTTCCCCCACTCCCTATCCTCTTACCTGTGAAATATCTTTGCATATTGTGTGTGGGTATGTGTAGGTGTGTGTTTATGCTTGGCCTCTTGGTCAGTAAAGCATCCAAATTTCTCCCATGATCAAAAAAGAGTGAAAAGCTTCTGACCCAAGCAATGGCATTTTCAGTAACTTCAGAAGCATATGAAATTTGGACAGAGAATAAAGAAGAATCAATGACTTTGAATTGTATTGGTGAATAATATTGAATATACTCAGGACTTGAATATATTCCAAGAACAAATGAATCTGCCTTGGAAGAAGTGTGGTCAGTATTCCTTAGGAATAAGGATGGTAAGACTTTTTCTCAATCACTTTAGGCACGCTGTTGTTAGGTGTTATCAAGTGCAACATACAGCAACCCTGCCAACAGCCAACCTAAACCTTCCCCTAGCCTGTTCTATCTTCATCATCTCTGACATTCTTGAGCCCATTGCTTTAGTCATCATGTCAATTCATCTGATTGGTGTCTTCCTCTCCTTCAGAGGTGGCAATCTCTGGAGGAGGACTTCGTGCTTGGAAAAGTAGAAAATGGGGCAGAAAGAGGAGGACTCTCAAGAACATGGAGGGATGTGGTAACTACAGCAATGAACTGAAGCACAGCAGAGATCATGAAGATAATGCAGGACTTGAGTTTCATCCTGTTATAAAAAGGGATGGTATGAATTACAGCCAACTCAACAACACCTAACAATGAGAAATGTTCTTTTTCAGGGTGGGAAAAAGTCTCTTCACCTAAATACCTGAAACAGGAAGTAGAAATTATTATTTTAATTCAGTCAGAAACAGCTTTCAAAATAAAAAAGCAGCCAAAATTAAGTCATATACAAATTTTTTTATCAAAACTAGAGAAATTACAGTACAAACATATGGTTATCAATTTGCAGTTTGGAATTCCTTGGTATTGTGAGAATACTTACTAAAGCTCTTAACAAGGAATAAATGCAAAAGAAGTTCTTTTTTTATTGTTGTGTGGATATCTATATGCCTAAAAATGGTATGGGTAATGTGTTCTGGACCACAGACAAAAATTCATTATGATCACTTTTAGTCTACCAAAAACTTAGCTACATTCAAAGTTTCTTCTATTTCTAACTTGTATCTTAGAACACAATTGCCATTGAGTCGAAAGCAACTCATAACTGATCCTCCATGGTTTCTGCCGCTGGTAAAACCACTGGAGAGCTGCTAGTGGATTCAGGCCAGCAGGGAGGCGAGGCCTTTGGGTTAACAGTACAATTCTCTATGCACTACACTAAGAGTTCCCTTTGTAAGTCACAGGAAAAGGTATTGTCATGTTTACTTCCTTGAGAAAAAGTCTCTTTAGTTCTTCATCTCATGTTTGAAGTGCCTTCTATCCAGATTAAGAACCATGGCTCTAGATAGGACCCAAATTAATCAGGATACTTATTGCTCAGAGTGAATCAGTCAAATTTCACACAAATATAGAATACTTCCTTTTTTTTCTCCTAAAAGTTTAAAGAATAAAATGTCAGGCAGACAGCAGGTCTAATCAAGATGTATCTAGAGTTCTATATGTTGTCTTGAGCTCAAATTTAGACTCTGCTTTAAAATAAAATTTCTGATGGTACTACAAACCCGAAGTGCAAGTACAAGACGATTGCCACTATACCACATCACTAGTCAAGTTCATTCTACTTACTCTGTGGCATTCTCTTGCTACTTATTCTTCACTTTTGTGAAATGGCATTGTCTTGTCTAAGCCTTACTTTAGTTTATCTTCATGATCAAGTGCAAAACAGACCATCCAAAGCAATTCATAAGCTTTGCAAACTGGGACTCATAGGTATAATCTTAAGTGCACAGTACCTCGCATCATGTCTACCCTCTCACTAAGCAAAATTTTAATTCAAAGTGCTTTGAATATCTGACCTTCATAAAGAGTTTCTGCTATTTCTTAAAGTAGTATGTTGTCTTCACTTGTCTCTCAGGTGTGGAAAACAAATAATATGGTAAAAGGAAACATTTCTTTTTAAAAAATTACTTGAATACTGTAAATTAAAACATATAAACATAAATTTTTATTTTAAAATCTTTGAAAACTCAGAGATCTCAGGATTCTACTTGCCCTGCAAATTAACTCCCAACATTAAAGAAATAAATTTGGTAGGTCTGGTGAAAGGACTTTACGATTAGGAAGGACTGGTAATAAAAGTAAACAAATCTAAAATTGGGGCTTGTTTCAAATAAAAGTCACTAAATATTCATGAGAAATTAGCAATTTATTAATAATCAGATGCTGGATAAACACAAATATTTCTTATCTGGTTTCACATCACAAAGCTAATGCTTAAATTTATGTATTAATTGTCTCTTTTGCTATCTACTTTGTCCATACACTGACTCCAAGTTTCACAAAGATAATTGTTTTAAAGATAAACTATTTGAGGGATTACTGCTTGTACTGTTCAGGGAGTATGATTTCCTGAGAAATCTACAGACAGCACAATTACTTTTCAAGATTTTCAGCAAGAATTTACTTTCTTTTTCAGAGATCATCTTTGAAATATGGCTGAGTATGACTTCATCTTCCCAGAGAACCCAAAGAGGCGGCAGGAAGTAAACCGTCTTCACCAGCAGCTTCTTGACTGCTTATCTGATAGCTTCCAAGCCACCAATAAGCTGATTGAGGTTCTAAATACACACCTGGGGTGCAGGTTAGCCTCAATTGAGATGCAAAGAGATGGAACTATTAAAGAAAACTGTGATGTCATCATCCAGACTATGACAAAAATTCAAAAAGAAATGCAAAAGATTGATGAAGCACTAAAGGATAAACTAGAGCCAACCCTTTACAGGAAACTCCAAGACATTAAGGAAAGGGACACAGAGAAAATTGCAATAGTACAAAAAGTCATTTCTGTCATTTTGGGAGATGTCACTTCTACAACAAGTGCAGTGGCTGTTAAACTCATAGCCTCAAATGTCACGAGTGGTATTATTAACACACTGGTCAAGGTTTTAGGTCAAATTGGTGCATCTCTCCTTGGAAATATTACAGTTGCTGTTATTAGTCTTGGGCTAGATATGATCGTCCGTGCCATCTTGGGAGCTGTGGAAAAGACACAACTTCAAGCAGCCATCAGAAGTTACGAAGCACATCTGGTAGAATTCAAGTCAGCCTCACAGAAATATCACCATGCCATTACTGAAGTCATCAACACAGTGAAGCACCAAATTAAATGAATAAGCATGCTGTCTGTCACTAGCATATTTTTCTGCTTCCTTCTCAACAATGTTTTGCTTCCTTAAAGAGTTTAACCGCTCAAATGCCTCTTACAGAGGCATAAATAGGGTAAATCGTTTTGATATAACCAGACATGTAAAAATTAAATGACATACTGCAGAGTGTATTTGGGGAGTTCTTTTTGTCTTATCAACAACCAATGCCTAGATAGTAACAGACCCTTCAAAATAACCAAATGTCTTCTCATGCTATTCTACTAGATCACCACTGGAGTATAAATGCTATTGGGTAGATCAATAGCTATAGGCTTACCTTTTCTAATTATCAGCCAAAATTCTTAAAATGTACATTGACTGCAGAGATTTGTATTTCTACCATTACCTTCAGACATCATTTAGTTCTAAGCGGACAGAGTAAATTCTGCCAAGACATACATCCTGGATCTTCGAATAGAATAAAAATATGAGCACATTTTTTATCATAATCTTAAATCCAGTTTTCTGTAAATTAGGAGATATTAAATACTAGCTAGTATCAGCATGCAGCTTAGGTGAAAAAAGGTAATGGCTCTACAATCCATTACACAACCAGGATGAATTAAAAGATAAGACTGATGGCTAAATTTGTGCACTAACTTGGCCATCAGAGTCTTTGGTTTGGCCTTTGTGATGTGTACAATGACATCATTTCTTTGATGGCATTTGGTATGAGTGAAACACAGGGGAAGTTTTTTTGGTGGCCTATATCAACTATATAAGTAAGGCAGGCAAGTTGGCTTGGTTTTTGTTGCATCTACTTAGCATATCAGCGTGCTGGTAGTAAGGACTTGCACTGTCAACCCAAAGGCTCACAATCCCAATCCACCAGCTGTTGCACGGGAGAAAGGCAATCTCCAAACATGCAATTTACTGCTTCTCAAAACGCACTTGAGTATCAGCTATGAGTCAATTCCGACTTGATGGTAAACAACAGTAACATTTTTTTTGGGGGGGGGGCGGGGGGAAGAACCACTGAGTAGGAATTGACCCATGGCTGACACTCCAGCAAGTTTTCAGAGGCAGTTAATCCCATGGAGGAGATTGCCTATCTTTCTCCGGAACAGCAGCTGGTGGATCTGAACCACGTCTTCAGATTGCAACACAGCTTCTTACCACCGGGCCATCAGAGCTCCGTAATAACATATTACATCTACTCTATCACCTCCTTAGTTTCTTGGACCGATGACTTGCCTTATTTGCTAACATTAGATTCATCAGCTACCTGCTTATGGATATAGGACTTGCCAGCCTTTTAGGAGAGAGGAACTGCCCACATAGTACATGCTATAGTAAAGAAGTTTGTTATTTATTACTAGTTTTCAGGAGAAAACCATTTTATTTTTAATATTAAAAATAATAGTAAGTAATAAAAGTAAGGTACAGCTTCCTTTGCTAAAGGAAGCCTTTCAGTTTGTTTAATTAAGTACTTAAACCTCAAGAAAAGACCGAGGTATGAATTCAATCAGTACAGATTAATTTCAGTGTAGCTGCAAGTGACTTTCAAATCTTCTAAATCCTGTAACAATTAGTAACTTCCAGGGGAGGCTCTTTTAGGTTCCAATTACAAAATTATCAACATGTTGTTGGTAGTTGAATGTGTTCAGTATCATCAATTATAGCATTGAAGCACACATAAAAAAGTTCTAAAATAAAAAACATTCAGCACATTACAATATCAAAAAACTAAGTCACTTTATTCACTTTTCAAATTTACTCTTTTCCTTCTAATTCTACATCACTTAGTTTCAGGGGGGAAAAAAATCACCATTTTGTCCAACTAGTTTATTCTTTGCCTATCACCTAGATGATAATCAACAAGGCTGCTTTCATAACTTCAGTCTAAAATCAAATCTAAGGCTCTAACATTAAGGTTAATTCAGGTACAGTATAAATACAACTAAGCCTACACTTATATATTCTGTTAAACATGTTTCCCAAGAAATATTTTTTTTTTAAAATGTAATTGATAGAATCATCTTAGAGCGAAGTTTTCCTATAGAGGCATTGTTTAAGATCAAAATTAACCAAAAATGTCCTCTAAGAGCAGGGTCTTTAAAAAAAAAACAACAAAAATACTCAAATTTACCTTTTAAAGAAGAAAGGGGGGGGGTAGTTTCGGGGGTGTAAAGAGAGGACAGAAGGAAACGGAATGACAAACACCAGAACTGAGTAAACGAATACGTATAGTGACATCATAGAGGGCTTTGGGGTGATGAAAAGACCAACTGATAGAAAGGCATCAATTCAAACCACTTTGTCTTTTGTAAACTTAAAACCTACTGCACGTCTGTTTTTCAAAACATAATCCCCTAATTTAGCAATCTGGGACCTGGATGTGGACACTTGTTTGTTCCCATCGCTACTAAACTAATGCCGAGCTGGGATAACTTAACCATAGCAAAGCAAACCAGAGGCGGGTTAACGCTACCCAAATGAACACTCCACCACTTTCGAAAAGAGAAAGAGGAAAATCCAACTCCTAATATATAAATTTAAATGAAAAGCACAGGTACACCCGTAACAAACTCCAACTAACTCATTAGCCGATGCTCCCGGAAATTAGGTCAAGGTGCATCCTGGGGGCGGGGCAGGCTTTGCATCAACCAATCCGCTCTCTGCCCTGCTTCTTTTTTCTAATTTCTATTGGACAACGGAAATGTCATTCGCCCTAAGTCTTTATTACTACAACTCTAGGGCGGACTCTTCGTCTACAACCAACCAATTCGGTGTTGCTTCGGAGAGGAAAAGCCTTCGGTCACGCGCTTTGGCGATGCGTTCTATGGTTACTTGAGAAGGGAAACGTTAAGACACCTTCAGGCCGGAGGGATAGGAAGTGACGTCAGCATGGCGGAGGGGCGCGAGGTTTCAAGATGGCGGTGGCTGAGTGAGAGGCAGGAGTGAAGGCCCGCCAGGAAGCAGCAGAAACGGAATCTTCTCCGTTCCCCTTCTTGCAGCGCCGGGAGCCCTGCCCACGCGTAAGTGTGCAGTATCGCCCCGCTCTGCTCTCCCCTGTCCTGATCCTGTCGGGCCCACGCGTTGTTGCCCCGGGATTCCAGGCCCCTGTGCCCTCTCTCTCCTCTGCGGTTGGGGGCTCCCGGGCTGCAGATGCGGCGTAGCGCGCAGCGGTCCCGCCGCTGCGTCGCCGGGGTCCGTTCGCTCCTCCTCCTGTGCACGTTGGCCGGTTGCCGTCTGGTAGCTCGAGTCCCGGTCAACCGTCGCTATGGTTTCGACAGTTGCTCCTGTCGTTCCTTCCTCGGTGGCTGCGGACTCCTTCGAATTGGAGCCTCGTCTGCTCAGTGTTTTGGAGGCCTGGTTTCCAGGCGGCACCACTTTCCCGATGAGCTTGTGCAGACCACAGCTCCATTGTAAAGGTTCTCTAGTGCGTACCTGTTTTATGTTTCATTTGTGTGAAGAACAGGGTCAGAAGATGTGCTTGAGAAATAATTAAGATAGGAAGACGAAAAAAGATACCGGTCGCCTAAAATAGGAAAACCATTTTGCGTGTTTTCCTTACCAATTCCCCGTTTTTTCATTAGACCTACTGACATGCTAAATTAATTGCCACTGGAACGTCTCTGAAGCATCTAACATAATCAGGGCAGTTGAATTACTTACTAAAAGAAGGTTTAAGCTCTTCTGGCAAATTCCCTGTGAAGAGTAGGAGGGGTATACGCATTGCCTAGCAGAAATTTCTCTCATGGTCTTCTCTTTCACATCTTTTGAAAGAGTTTTGTTTCAAAAGGGAAGAAAATTTGTAAACTTAGAGCACTAAAGTGTGACTCAAAGACCTCATTCATTTGGAATGAGCGGAGGAAATGCTAGCCTGGTATATTAATTATATGACTTACAAAATATTTGCCCTCGAGATATGAGTCAGGAATGAAGTATGTCCTTAGGAGAAAACCTGTAATGTATGTCTTACATATTGAAGATTATGGAAGCTCTTTCCGAACATAATTCTCATTTTGAGTATTTGCCTTTTTATTTTTAGTTTTCAGTTCTTACTTAGATCCAAGAACTACATCTTAAAATCTGAACATGCATAATCTTGGGGGTTTGATGAGTTACCAACGTGTTTACCAAGGAAAAGCCATGGAGAAAGGCATAGATGAACCATGAGCCCACATTTTATTACTGCTGGTATTTTTTCCTCCTTTTTTCATACTACACATGAATAAAAGGATGTAGGCTTCTATCTTGTGCCCTATTGTGGAAACATCTTCTGGTTGATCTTTTTCAGATGGCAGTAAATGCCATAATCTATAACAAAAAAGTTAAATTAGGGGAGCTCTGGTGGCCTAGTGGCAAGAAGCTGCACTGCAGTGCCAGAGGCACATGGTTCGAATCCACCAGATGCTCTGCCGAGGAAGGAGGGACAATCTCCTCCTGTACCATTCAGATTCGATTTGACGGTATATACACACACACACACACACATAGTTAGTAAAAAATTCTTTCCAAAAAAAAAGTTAGTGTTAGAGATCCAGAGTGCCCAGAAAAAACCATCCATCATCTCTAAAGAATAACAGAGATCAAATTTTGGGTGGCCCAGAAAGTTGAGACTATCTATCTGGGACACTAACATCAAAATTAGGGAAAGAATAAGAGTTCCAAAACTTAAATAAGTCCAAGGACTGTTGCTTGTCAGACGTATGATCTTTAGGAGAAAGAAAGAAATACAGGAGGGGAAATAATCTATTTCTTTGTATTTGCAGGTTTGTGTTTTGTTTTTTTGATTTTGTAAATAAGTAAGCCACACAGTTTGCCAACATGGGACGGAGATCTACATCATCCACCAAGAGTGGGAAATTTATGAATCCCACAGACCAAGCTCGTAAGTACCCATTAATATGGAATAATGAAGGATTAAAGAGTGGCACAGATTAATTCCTTTGTGTGAAATGAAGGATTAAGGAGTAGCACAGATTATGTATTTTTTGTTGATTGCCATCGAATCGAGCAGGACTCATAGCGACCCTATGAACGGAAGGCCTGAAGCCTTATAACTTTTATAACTATAACTTTAGTCATTTAACAAAGTTCATAGTTTCCAGTGGCATGTTGTTTAGGAAGTGAATGCCATTTCTGCTTCCAAACCTGTCTTTGATTGACTTAAAATGTAGACAGATTGGACTGAAGCATTTGTTTGGAATTTGGCATTTTGAGCATGTTATTTTGCAAACTCTTGGAATATTATGTGGCTTTTTTCTTCACCTTCATATTTTAAGGAAATGTATCTGATGACACTTATGTTGTCATAGAAATTTTAACAGGCACATGGAATTCCTGAATAGTACAACCAATTAATGCAACCAGGTGTTAGCCAAAGATTGCAGGTTCACATCCATCCACAGGCACCAAAGAAAGGCCTGACGATCTACTCCAAATCAGTTATTAAAACCCTATGAAGGGCTCTACATTAGAGTTGGCCAAGAGTAGAAGTCAGTATGACCATAATCATTTGTTTTGTAATTGGCTTCTAGTGTGGATAGAAACCAGGGATACTTGTAAATAGCAGTGCATCATAAGGACTTGTGAAACAAAGAATTTTCTAACCCCATAGTAGTGTCAAGTAACAAGTTTGGAAATATTTGTAATCGACCGTAAAAGCTCAAACAATATATGTCTTCCTAACCTTAAATAAGGAAATTAAGGTCTTACTGAATTGGTAAGAATGCTAATGTTCAAAATTTGAAAGTTTTCTTCTTCCTTTTAAAGGAAAAGAAGCCAGGAAGAGAGAATTAAAGAAGGTAAGATTTCGGTTGCATCTTTTATAAGTGCTATTTAATATACCTTATTATTTTGGACTAAGGGATTTCAAAACATTTATTTACCAGAAAAGATTGTTTATGCTTCTTATAACAAGCCATAAAATTTATTAAGCTAAAATACTGAGAAACTGAACTAAGTAACTTTTGTAGATGATTTTTTACTGGATTACTTTTTTAAAATTACTACTAAAGATCTCATGAAATTAAAATCTGTTCCCCTTTAAAAAAAAGGCAACTCTTAATTAATTATATTTCATTAAAAAAAGTAAAAGAATTTCTGAAAGCAAAAATTCATTGCTCTCTTTCTGGTGGTTGAATAAAGAAAAGATCACAGTTCAGTGTAAATAGATTGTTAAAATTAAAATAAAAATGGCATGACTGTTCAGCTTCTTGACATTGTTCTTTCATTTTCTTAAGAACAAAAAACAACGCATGATGGTACGAGCTGCAGTCTTAAAGATGAAAGACCCCAAACAGATTATCCGAGACATGGAGAAATTGGATGAAATGGGTAAGAATTTATAAAAAAGCTTGATTATGTTTTGACTGCAGGTATAAAGTCTTATATGAATATGCACAGTAGCAGACCAAAAAATGAGTGACGCGGTGTAGTCATTAGAACAGAAAACATGATAATATTTGACACTTGGCTTTAGTGTCAGGGAAATGAAGTGGAAGAAATGTAATGTAATAATAATAGGGAATACCAGATTTAGCATCACCATTTGTTAGGAGATAGTGAAATCCCAGTTTAACCAGGTCCCTTTTCATCAGAATACTAAAATCTCTTTTTCTGGAGTTACCTTATTTTTTTTGTTTGTTTGTTTTTAAAGGTGGTAATTGCCATACAAATAAAAATATTAGACTGCCGTAAATAGAAGACCATTTCCTATTTTTTTCAATGAGAAAAGTGCAGAAAGGTTGACAGTTTAATAAGAATAAAGATGAAACCGTCAAATATTTATAGTCAGATTTTCTGAACTGTTTTGGATTTTTCTCCCCCTTTTCACATTTTATATCATTTTCTTTTAATCTTTTCATATCCATCTTTCATCACTGCTTTACTAGAATTGCATTAAGTAGAATCACATAGCATTTTAGCTTTCCTTACATTCGTGTTAATTCAGAATTTTTTAGTTAAAATGTTCTTTTTAAACAAAAATACCTAACGAGACTCACTGATTGTCTACAAACAGATAATAGATAAAAGAAGTACCCTGGAACTTCTCTGATGCATTAAGTGGAAGTTAAAAAATCCAGTTATAAAGTGTGAGGTTTTGGTATTTAAATATTTCTGAAATAATACACAAGAGCTAATCTGGTAAAAGTTGAGTTGGCCTGCTTAATCCCAGATCTTTAAGCTATGGAGCGAGTTGCTGTTCCTTGAGTTACCATGCTTTTAACTGTTCAGACTTAAGGTTAGAACTGTTGCCATCTAGTCAATAGCAACTCATAGCTGACTCCTCAGCAGATTCCTGAAGCTATAAATCACACAGGAGGGGATTGCCCATCTTTCTCCCAAGGAACTGCTACTGGATTTGAACTGTCAGCGAGGCAGAAACAGGAAGAAGGATTGGCAGTCTCCTCCCAAAAACCTATTTGAAAGTTAGCAGTCAGTCAGTCCTGACTTGATGTTAGAGAAAGATGAAATGGCAGCCACCTCAGTACCTTGCAAACAACTATTCTGTAATCTACAGTACTTGTCACAGTAGCACCTCTGGTAAACCAGACACTTAACCTGTGGTAACCTGACAATTTTATGTTCACATTGAATCATCAGAGCTTTCTTATAAAATAGTTGATATCCCTATATTTCAGTTAAGCTGAAGCTCAAGAGTTCAAGTTCAGTGCCCAACTTTGCAAAATTGACAGTATACAAACTCACATCTGTCTTAGCTACAATTTCAATATATCAGATTTTTAACAATAAAGTGGATGTTAAAGTGACCTTTGTGTTTGTCTAATTCACCTAATTGCTTTTCTCAGAATTTAACCCAGTACAACAGCCACAGTTAAATGAGAAGGTGCTGAAAGACAAGCGTAAAAAGCTACGTGAAACCTTTGAACTCATTCTATGACTTTATGAAAAAGAGAATCCAGATATTTACAAAGAATTGAGAAAACTAGAAGTCGAGTATGAACAGAAGAGGGCTCAACTTAGCCAATATTTTGATGCCGTTAAGGTAATCAAGTTTCTTTTGAAATAAATGTTATACTGAAGTTAACTCTTTAAAATTAATGGGAGAGTTATATCACCCTCCTTACTCTTTTACGTGTTTCAGAATGCTCAGCATGTGGAAGTTGAGAGTATTCCATTGCCAGATATGCCGCATGCTCCTTCCAACATCTTGATCCAGGACATTCCACTTCCTGGTGCTCAGCCACCCTCCATCCTTAAGAAGACCTCAGCTTATGGGTAAAGGAACATTAAGCAATTTTCTTTTTGTTCTTTTTCACACTTGGAAATGAAAACTAGTAGTACAGTCCATAGATGCTGACCCAAAAGCCAGGCTTCTCTGGCAGTTCAAATCCACCAGCTGCTCCATGAGAGAAAGATGGGAGGTCTCCTTTCATATGATATACAGCCTGTGAAAGCCAGTGGAGGGTCAGCTGTAAGGGTCAGTTGGTTCCAGCTTAGCAAGGAAAGAGCTCAAGACAAAAATAAGCGACTTAAAACATCTGTCTTAGCCACCTAGTGCTGAAAATAAGACAGTGATGGATTTAATTATGGAATAGGAAATCCTCTTGAAAATTATTTAGAAGAAATAACTCATTATTAGGTAATTACTATAAAAACGTCTTTACAGACCTCCAACTCGGGCAGTTTCTATACTTCCTCTTCTTGGACATGGTGTTCCACGCTTGCCTCCTGGGAGAAAGCCTCCTGGCCCTCCACCTGGGCCTCCTCCTCCTCAAGTCTTACAGATGTATGGCCGTAAAGTGGGCTTTGCACTGGATCTTCCCGCTCGTAGACGAGATGAAGATATGATATATAGTCCTGATCTTGGTAAGGAGTGATTGTTCTTGTGCTTTTACGTGTTTTATTTTGGCCTTATTTGCTAATTGTTCATTACTCTCAGAACTTGGGAAATAAAGGAAGGTTGGGAGCTCTGACGACCTAGTGTTAAGGAGTTGAACTGCTGCAAGGCGGTATAAATCCACCAGCTGCTCCACAGGAGAAAGATGGCCAGTTCTCCTCCTATGTAATTTACAGCTTCTGAAAACCTGCAGGAGAGTCAGCTGTGAGTTATTTCTTACTCGGTGGCACATACAACAATATCCTATAGAACGGCCATATGGATGGATTAATAATTGGATTTACCAATGTGAAAACGTGCATACAGAAGGACGTTTAGGAATGCTAACTGTGCTATAAATAAGCATTCCTTCTAAATGTTCCTGTCAGTAGTTTAAGACTAAGATACCTTTTGAGATTTATTGTCATCAGATTTGGATGTCATTATATGAAGTGAGGTTGTATGTGCACATAGTTATTTCTGAATGAAATTTGTTTTCAAATTTGGACACATCAAGCCTTTTTTAATCAATTACGTTATTCTGAATTGACTAGTGACTATTTTTCTGTATTCTGGGTACCACATAGTGGAAGGTAAAGGTTACTTTTCCTCTGCTTGCCCCCTTTCTTCAGGTCAGCGAGGTCATGATGATGATGTTTCTAGCACCAGTGAAGATGACGGTTATCCTGAAGACATGGATCAAGACAAGCATGATGAGAGCACTGACGACAGCACTGATGACAGATCAGATGGAGAAAGTGAGGAGGATGAATTTGTGCATCGAGATGATAATGAGAGAGAGAGCAATGAAGAGAAGAAGTCAGGTATGTGCCAATGGAAGTCTCATGTGTGCTGCTTTATTAATGGATCTGTGAAAATGTTTTTTAAAGCAGGCACAGTAACTCTATTAACTCATGTGGTAAGTACTAAATACATGTTAACCTTTTTATTAAAGTGTACCTTTAGCAGGGAAAAATAATAGCTGTTCAACAGCTTAAAGATGTATTTCTGCTTAGGTAGTTTAGGAAAGAAAGAATAACCATGTGAAAATACTTTTAAAAAAAATTATTATTAATTTATGTGTGTACCGTCAAATTGGATCTGACTGGTACAGGAGGCAATTGTTCCTCCTTCAGCAGAGCATCTGGTGGATTTGAACTGTGCACCTCTGGAATTGCAGTGCAGTTTCCTGCCACTAGGCCACCAGAGCTTGCCTGAATATACTTTTAAAACATTCATGTTAAGTTATTTTTGGTTTTTAATAAGCTTTGATATAAATACCTGTATTTGAAGTTGTTTGGTTTTCCTTTGTGTATTACTTATATCTTATATGTAGAACCATGTCCATATTTAAAACTAGTTACAACTATGAGTGTAGAGATGGTATTGGTAAAATATACCATAGTATATTTTTCCATAGTGTATTTTATGTGTTTATTAGAAATTTAACAGTTGTATATACTTTTAAAAGTGGCTATAATACTGACCAAGAAAAATTTAAGCATAACAGATACTTTACAATACAAAATGTGTAATAGTTCTGTCACACCTCAAATACGAGGGGTTTTTTTTATCTTTAGAAAATTTTTTGTAGTCTGTAGACAGTCTGTTAGTATTTCTAATAATTACAAATTTTTCTTCTAATAATTCTTATAAAATGTGATTCCAGCTCAGTTAAGCAGTTTTTAAAAGCAGATGAAGCTGTTAACAAAAAATGTGGAAGACTTTACATTGAAATTAGTGCTAGGCAGTAGGAAGTCATGTGCACCACAGCAGCTCCATTTCCCTTTTGGATTGGTCTCTTTTCTGTACCATTTTCCCCTTTTCCTGCAGATGGGGTTTTCTTAAACATACATCAGTACACATCTGAAAATGGCTGGTAAATTATGATTTATACTTCTTTTAGCTGGCACTACATGCAAGGTGTTATTCTAGGCACTGAGGGTATAAAGGTAAGCAGCACTTTAGACCTTGCCCAAGTTGAACTGATGTACTTACTGTCTTAGTTATTTAGTAGTACTGTAACAGAAATACCAGAGATGGATGACTTTGAAGAGTGGAAATTCGTTTCCTCACAAATCTAGGAACAAAGTTCAAATTAAGGTCTCAGCCATGTCATTTTCTCCTTGAGCCTCTCTTAGATTGTCTTCCTCCAGTAATTCCTTGGCTTGTAGGTGATCTTCACATGGTACCTGTCTCATGTGTGTTTTCTCGGTTTGTGGTTTTGCTTTGCCTTTTTTTTTTTTTTTTTAAAAATAACTCAAGAGTGGTTAGGTTTAGGGCCAACACTACTCTGATTTGTTGTCATTAATGTGACAAAGCCCTATTTACAAATGATTTTATTTATACCATATCAGCAATTGGATTTTAGCACATATTTTCTTCTGTCTCATTGCTAGACAGGCCCAATTCTGAGCTGACCCTCTAGTGATTTTCCCCCGACTGCAAATCCCATAGGAAGAGAAATACCCATTTTTCTCCCTTAAACACATATTTTGTGGGTCTACAATTTTCAGTCATAATATTGGCTTAAAAATATCCATGTGTGAATACTCTTAGTATTGTAACTTTAAGTGTGGTATTTAAAGTATATACTTAAAAATCCATACAAACATTGCTATTCAGTTGGAACACAGTCATAACTGGCCCTCCATTGGGTTTCCGAAGCTGTAGGTCATGAAAGGAGTTTGCCCCCCTTTCTCCTTGCAGAGCTGTTACTGGATTTGGATCACCAGACTATCTTATATCATTGCCAAATATTTTTTCATGTGTCTTGGTGCACATGAGGTTTGTTTTATTTTTAGTATGTCCCAGTTGTTTAGTTTATCCTATTGGTAGTGGTGGTGGTGGTTAGGTGCCACCAAATTAAGTAAGATTCATAGCGGTGTTATGAACAAAAGTTCTACTCTGTTCAATCCTGCACCATCCTCACAATTCCTGACACAAAAGAGCCCATTGCAGCAGTCACTGTGTCAGTCCACCTGGTTGAGGGTCTTCCTCTCCTTCATCAACTCTCCACCCTTCCCAGCATCATGACCCTCTCCAAAGAATAGTCACTTCCAGCAACAGTTACATATTTTGTGCCATAGATTAGAGCTTCTAAGTATACTGGGGGGTTTTTGTGTGTGTGATCTTTATAGTTTTAGGTTTTATACATTGGTCCTTAATCTACCTTGAGTTGGTTTTTGTATATTCAGGTTTTCCATTTTATTGGGCTAAAATTATTGTGTGTCTTTAAGTCAACCAAAAATCTAGTGACCCTATGAAAACATCAGAACCTTGTCTGTGAAGCATATGCTTCACGTCTAGTTTTCAAACTCTAGCTCTTTGTACATTTCGTTATAATGCTTTGATTTGTCTTCTTGAGCTGCCCTTTAAAATACTCATTTCTTCCCTTTGGCTTCTCTGCATTCTTTTACAAGTATTGGTCACATCTGGCATCCATTTTGGTCTTTCTTTCCTGTCTTTGTAGTAATTGTTTGCTTTCTTCATTGGTGATGTCCTTGATGTCATCCCACAAATCATCTGGTCTTCAGTTATTAGTCAGCCCCTGGCCTTACTTTGACAGTTTTATTGAGCTTCTCCATGGACAGTTTTCACTAGTTCTTCTAATTCCTGTGATGTCAATGTATATAGTCACAGTTTGTATTTTTTAAAATAGATATTGCAGTTAATAAATCATTGATTGTAAAAAAGTTCTCTAATTTTAATCTCTAGCTTTATTTCATTCATCACCAAGGACGGCCACATTTTCAAACTATCACCTCCCCTTTATTTCCAACTTTTACATTACCATCACTAATTAATTTAGTCACAAATGAAATTGCTACATTTTTTAAGACTCTTCTATAGCATAAGCTTATCATCTGCTAACCAGTAGGCAGCATTTATTATATAGGCATTAGTTTATTATATGATAAGCATGCATTGAATTTCGGTGATTCTCGCCCTCCTGACTCCTTAGGTCTGAGTGTACGATTTGCAGATATGCCTGGAAAATCGAGGAAGAGGAAGAAGAGCATTAAGGAGCTGACTCCTCTTCAAGCCATGATGCTTC